TCACCATCGCCCCATCAACTCTCAAGTATCCTCTCCCCTCGTCGTGAGTGTTTGCGACATATGATCGTATCAATGTCTACTTGAAAGGGGATACTGGCAGCGCAACATGCGCAAAGGATGTAACGCAGGGATCTTTTCTTGGTGAAGCAGCCTGTTTTTGCTAGACGATGCCATCATTGTCTCACATTTGTTGCAAGTGGCCCCCTGCCCGTGGCGTGTTTTGCAGAGCATCGCTCGCATGTTTGTTTTGCCTGTGTGTGCTATTGGGATCAACTTTGACCCAGACTCAAATCACTGTTCTATCACTTGCAAAATGTTCGATGTTTGCTTGTATGTATGTATATATTTGGCATTATTTGGCAATATATACCTCCTAGCAAAGTGGCAGGAAACCTTGTTGTTGTCTCCAAATCATTGGGACAAGTGACAACTAGGTGTCCACAGGATCATATACGACTGTTGCAAGATTGATTCACTGTCCTAGTTGTTTGGAAATCGTTTAAAGCTGACAGTGAACCCCCGCAACATGGTTCCACAAGGCCTTTGTGCCGTAACCACCCATTTTCTCGTTGGATGACAGAGCATTTTTGGACTATGTGGGGTTTCATATTGGTTTAGTTCCTTTTCTATGCAACTGATGTATGCCACAGACCATTTATGAATATATGTATATATTACATATTTTTATAGGTAGACCGACCTGTACAAAATACTATTAACCGACGTTGGCTTTCTCACTCCTCAAACCGACCTGGTTGGTTTTTGGTAAACTTCTCAGATTGAAGACAGGCCGAGCTACACGTGTGCGTGCATCGCCTGTTCGAACTCGAGGCACCCGAAAAAAACAGAGCCTCTGGTGGTTGAGGGTGGGGTATGGTCTAATCTATATATATATATATTAATATACTTATTTTACCTTGGACCTCACAATTGACCTGCCAGGTCTACAAGATTGGGCTAACTCGATCAACCACTGCAGCAGATACGGTCGTACCCAAGACCGGGTTGACCTCGAGTGGCCGCTGGTGCTGGAGCCATTCGAAGTTCGCAGTGCTGGGACAAACTGCGGCCAAGATGAACCCGCTGCGCTGGAGCAAAAGGATGACTGTGAGCGAGTTGGCAGAAGATCTTGGGAAGTATTTGCAGACAGACCCGAGGGGCGTGAAGATTCTGTTTGATGAAGAGAACGAAAAGAGCTACAGCGACCAAGTGGCGGCAGTTCTTGAGTTGCAGGACATGATCAGAAAGGCCTGGGCAGGTCTTAGTGGACAGTGCTGTTGCTGAGCCCGAGGAAGTCTTGAGAAAGCCGGTGACGGCCAATTTCCAAAGTGACACATCTAAATCTTTTCTGAGTACGAGGGGCTTTCTGTCCATCTAATCTTTTCCAACATGATGTCAGAACAAATAGACATGTGAATCTGTGAATCACCGCTGTTTTGCAGCCTGGATGCAGTTCGCACAAAAGACCTGATTTCCAATGATTTCCAAACGAACCTTTGGTTGTAGGCCCATGGAGCTGCTGCCCAGACAGGCCGAGCTCCGTTTTGTTTCTTTCTGTGGCCAATGGCCAGCAGCACATGTTCTTGGCGGATTGTCAAGCAACTTTAGTAAAATCTCTTCGATTTAGATCATATTGTTGCGGACGGCTGCTGACTGGAGTATTTTTTTTTTTTGTCAAGTCGGCTCCCCCCCAAAAGCCTGCCGCACGTTGAGACGCCGGCCTGGCGGGGCTGATTCAAGCTGATTGACACTCTTGACACGAAACGAACGAAGAACATGTACACCACCGGCTTAATTAGTCCATTTACTTCTGACTCAGCTGCCTAGGTGCAGAGATCGATGAAGAAGGTAGGGGAGCTGAGACCTTGCTGTTTGGACTGGTGGCAAACGGTCTGACTTGCTGATGGTGGGATCTGAAGGGTGTTTGAGGGCCTGGTCACCTTCAGTGATCCCTAGAAAACCCAACGCAAGATGAACATGATGTCCTGTTTCCAAAGCAGATCTGGCCTTCAGAAGGCATGTGTTCAAAGCAAGCGATCTGTGTGAGCAGGGAAGTTCTTTGAAACTCAGACAGATCGCATGCTTGAGGCCGGTCTGCGGAAGGTCTTGCCGAAGGCGGAAGCCAGAGCCTTGGAGCTCTGACGGAAACCGTGTGAAAGCCCATGGGAATGACGGACAGGGGCAGGTTCCACTTGGAGATGTTTTCAAAAACTGTTCGAAAAATGTGACAACATCTTCAGCTTATAGCTCAGCTAATTAGGCCCCTCTTGTCTTTTTTCGGAGACTCACCGACTCAGGGCATGTAAGTTTTTTTTGCTACAAAGCGAGCAGGAAAAAAGGGCAACAAACAGGTCACATCCAACAGGTCACATCCAACAGGGCTCCAAGCCCATGTCTTGACGTTCCTTTTCTCGTTTTTTACATTCGAAAAGGCCTTCGCCTCCGCACCACCCAGCACACGCACACGCACACGATCACTCGCTCCAAACTGCAGCCGCGATGATGCAGCCGCGCTTTAGAAAGGACATCCTTGAGGCAGAGAAAGGACGTTAGACATCATGAATTGAATGCCAAGTCTTCTTCCAAGCGTCCTTGAACTATATGCGGATCCACTCTATCGTTCTGCTGCAGTTGTCTTGGTATTCATCTCCCATACCTTTCAACAGGACTCTTGCAAGAGGACGGGAGATGTTGAAGATAGAAAGAGCTCAATGACTGATTTGGTGTCTTTGCTGATGAACCAAACCAAGAAGCTCAACACCCTTGGGACTTCCCCTTCCTTCCCCCTGCAGTCTTGCCGCTGAAGTTCCATTCTTTGCGCTGTTCTGAGGTCAGATGCCTCTCTACGAGGTGGTCGAGCAGGGCCACTCGGAGGTAGAGCAGCGGCTCATCGATTCCATACCCTCCCTCGAGGTGGCAGAGGTTGAGGTGAGCCTGCTGAGTGGCCGTGCTGTTCGTTGCAACTTGGCTCGAAGTCAGTTGGATCGAATCTGGGAATCAGCAGTTTAGAACCTATGAACCATGTAGGCAACATTAGGCAACTCCTCAGCTGATACTGTTTTGATTGCTTTTCGACATTTTCTCGCAAGATTGATGCCTATTAGTGCTCCATAAATCGTGGACTTGTTCGTGCTAAGTTGTCATCTGTGCAGCAGCAGTTGGTGTTTGCTACTTTGTTCTCTTCGCACCCAGTACCTGCACAAAGAAGATGGACAGGAATCAAGCAACGTTCCATCCTTCGCCCGTCGCGTCGCGTCGCGTGTGTGTTGGTTGGACCTTTTCAGAGCATGAAGAAAACGCCCGAAGACGTGCATCGAATGAATCCCGACAGAAAACCTAACCTCTCAACCAAACCGAACCTCTCAAGTAAGAAGAACTGTCCCTCCTTCCGGTAGCCTTGCCCGAACATGATAACATAGTGGTCGCGTAGGCGCAGCACGTGAATGGATTTTTTAAACCCCCCCCCCACCCTACTCCCCATCCGCCCCAACCCTCTTGTGTTCCTTTTGCTTCCTACACATATTTGGCTCAAACTCACGAAAGCCGCAATCGCTTCGCCATCGCTTCGCACTCGTCATGGCATCGAGACCGTCACACGAGCATCAACTGCTCTAGAGACAGTGTTCTTTCCAAGGGAACTCCACTGCTTGCACTTCCGTGTCACTCCCCTCATGGTTCCTAGAAGCATCGCACAGGCATCATGCGTAAACGCCGAAGCATAACAAGTGTCCTAGCGCGTGATACAATTGTCTATACCGCAGGCAGGATCGTCCTGGCGTAGGGCAAACACCGATGATTATTGACCCGGACACATAGCGTTGCCTGCTCACGTTCCCGAAAGGAACAACAAGCAGAGGTGATGCAAGCGCAGCTGATCCACTGGCACCCCGTACAGAAGCTGTTTGTTTGGAAAAGTCGAACAAGGTGAGATTGACACTTGTTGCTCCCTTTGGAGTGACCAATCTGATTTTCATGTGCTCGAGATGTTGACAGTGTGAGGTAAGGCGGAGACCAGCAGCACTATATGTGAGCTGCGAGAAGAAGCCCAGCAGCATGGCAACAAGTTAGTTGGCCTTTTTGGGCGATGAGGGGTGCTTTGTAAGACATGATTGTTGAGCTTCGAGGGTAAAGATCTCCCAATGTGCGCATATAATTTTGTATATTATAATTAGAACATATAGCTGATCCCTTCTGATCCTGTCTGAATCATCGTGCTGCGGCTGCCATTGTTTCTTTCTGAAACTCTTGCACATTCTTGGCATTGTAGAGGTGAGTACAACCGCAGCAGTCAACGTTGACCTGGCTGAGGTCAAAGCTTGGGACCATTATTAAGCAGCTATTCCTCTCGAGTTCTGGACAACCGCTGCGCCTCCAGCATGCGCTGCGCCTCCAGCATGTTTTTAGTTGAGCTGTGGAGTTCTTTCAATATTATATAACAGACCGTTCAACGCTGTTGAGGCACATCAGCATAGAAAGAACATGCTATATGTGCGGGTCATCGTGGAGATCCCCCAAAAGCCTAAGAATGTTCAGGTTTGCCACTTGAATGGCACATGCATGGTCAAGTCAATGCAGTTTCTTGGTGAAAGACATGTACGTACGTCTTCCAGTTACGGGGGCACAAGTTGGCCCTGCCAGGAAAGAACATTTGACGCTGAAAGATGCTGGCGTAACCCATGGCGCTTCCCTTACCGCTTTGGTCTGACAACCCAGCGAGAGACGGTCATGAAACCAGTGCGGTGGATTGTGCATGTGCAAAGAACATGTGGGCCTTAGGTTCTTGGCCCACCTTCTCTTCAGACCCTTTCCAGTCAACTCTCCAGGTGTTCCTAGCATAGATCCCGAAACGATCAGACATGTGCTTCTTATGACAGGACTAGCTACCCTAGTAGCTGTAAGAGACTTGCTTGAAGATACCGGTTGAGATATATATTGTGGGCGAAAGAGAGTAGCACACTGGTGTGAGAGTATCTGATCCATCTGCTTTGGACTGGTGTGAGGTTGCGAGCTTATTGGACGTCAGTGACCAGACGGTACCACTGGGCATTCAGATTTGCAACGCATGTGATACCGTTGCTTTGTTGTTGCGAGACGAAGTAGCAAAAGGCGATGCGTTGAAGCTGTGTTGCGCGCAAGCTCAGCAAGAAGACTCGCCTGAGTTGCTCAAGGCAAGCATCTTCGGCCTGATGCAACCAGAGGAGATGAAAGAATTTCTTCAAGCGCCTGACCATCGTCTTTGGTTGAAGATCAAATCAGATACTGAACGATTTATAGAGCTCCTCAAAGACCCAAAAACAGTTCCCTACTCCGCCGAAGAGATGACCCCAGAGCCCTTCAATGAACGAGTTCGGACCATGCGTCCGGTGGTGATGGACCAGTCGGTACGAGAACCGGCCACGAACACACCGTTTGGCCATACTGGCTACATGAAGTATCTGACCCTGAAGATTGTGCAGGCAATGGGCTTCAAGGACTGGGCTGAGGGTCTTTGTGACTCAAAAGGCTGAAAGACATTGAATTGGACCGTCGCACGATTCCGACTTAGACGAATCCGTCACGACACGACTTAGACGAGACCTCAGAAGTCTCAGTCTCACTGTCTTGCACCTGTTGCGTTCGTTTCATTCAACTGACTGAAACAACAGAATTCAAATGAGATGGCTTTCTGAGCTGATAAATTTGCTGGTAACCCTTGCGTTGAAAGCCTTGACACGACAGATCAGATACTGTAGTTTGACATGTGAGGCTTGAGGCTGTTGAACGTCAGTCACAACTCTTCATGTACTCAAGTCACCATGCGCTTTGCGCATGCTTTACCAGATCTAGTGGCCTCCTGCTTCGCCTGCATCTAATGAAATGGCCCTAGGAGTATCGGTGTTGCCAGTTTTGATCTTTTTTTGTGCACCTCCGCCCACCCCAAAACCGCACAATCTCCTGGTCCATGGCCAGGACATTGCCATTACTGGCCAGTACTATGGCTCATCATACACTCCAGAGACCCAGATCTTGGAGTGGATGTGCTACAAAGGAGACAGCATGGATGGAATGATTGCGATGTTCTCCCCAGGCCAAGCAGACCGTACGGCTGGTATCAATGCCATCAGAGAATTCAAGATACCAAATGCATTTCTGGATTTGACTATGAAAGCGAGTGTACGCTTTGCCCAGTCTGACTTTGTGCAATCCGTTGTCGACACTGTGGAGAAGATTGATGAGATTTATACAGAGATGGGCTTGGACCCCTGCCCATGGCGAGAAGACAGCGAAGTAAACGCAAGACCCGGCCGCGGCGAGATTTCTTTGAACTTGGTGGATTTGATGGAGTTTTTAAATTTATCCATCAACGGTGACATGGATGATGTGAAGGAGCAAGAGGCAGCAAATGCTTTTAGCACATGGAAGGCATGCGACGCATTTAGGCGTAGAGTCGTAGCGATTCTCACTGAGGAAGGCCGGGGATGTGCAGACTACAGGGACTATGGGCGTTTGGTTGGGTGGCTACGCAAACATTTTCCTGAACATGAGCACTACCGCATTTTAGTTCACGCACATGGTGGACACAGCAACGTGCAAGATGCCGCTAGTGTGGAAGCTGCCCTACAGGGAGCAAATGGAGTTTGGGCGGCCATCATACCCCAGGCCTCCCAAGCTGGACACAACTCCAGCTTGGTGTTCTTGGACAACATCCTCCAGCTGGGCAACTCCCATGTCCTGGAGGACTTTTGGCTTCACCAGGCCTCGGAGTGTGCTCGCCACGTCTACTTCTTGAACTTCAATACCTACAAAATCCAAGATGATTGCCCCATCTGGGGGATGGGGGGGGCTGATGCGGCTGACGCACTCAGCATTCAGCAGAGTCTCAGGAGAGTCCTGGCGCCACAGGCGGGGAGAATACTTCAACGTTTGGAGCGACGAGGACGCTCGGAACTTGCGGTTCATGCATTTCTTATGTCGAAATAGAGTTGTTGACAGAAAAAGATATAAAAATATATAAAACAACATATCCTGCAGATAAATGGAGATAGACACTTTTCGCATGTGTTCCTTCACAAAAACCGTTCCAGGAGTCCCTAGAGCTGAAGAGAGCTGCAGAATCAGACCTGCACTTGCAGATGGAGGTGGCCTCCTTGCGGCAGGCCGAGCGAGGTGGAGAATACCGCATTTCGCCACTAGTCTCCGATGTTGAGACCTGGAGGCACCGGCTCAGCGAGGCCCATCAGTTGCATTGATTCGATTTGATCATGTTGGATAGTGATACTTCATGGATAGTGATTCCATCGAATTGCATTTTGGTTAGTGATTCTATCCAGGCTCATGGAATTAATTGGATATTGATCAATTGCATACTTCATGAGATTTCATGGCATTTCCTTTGTCAGGGTATGTGCATATAGAACTATAGAACCACATACATACATATCACTATGCGGTTACGTGGTACTTTTACTGTGAGCAATCAAGCTGGTTGGTGAGATTTGGTCACGTGTGCAGGCCGGAGCCACTCAGAGAAAAGAACGAGTCGATGACTATCTGCATGAGGTGAGAGCACTTGGATTCGCCCTGATGAACGCAGGAATTCGGGTCAACATCAACGAGGCTGCGACGCTCAGGAAGCTGGTTGACATTGCGAGGCGCAACAAGGCTCGGGACTTGAGGCAGGGTTTCGAACAAATGCTGCCATTCCTCCGATGATTTATCAAATGAAAAGAGAAGGGTAAAATACTGCATCATGATAAATCCGCTTCCTCCCTGTCATGGTGCATGCATTTGTTTTTGCTTTCTTTCCTCAGGTGCCCGAAGGTGGCCAACTACCTGAAGGCCCAGCAGCACCAAGGTCTCACTGAATAGAGATGCTCATCCTGTTCGCATCTTCACAGGATGCGCATAGAAAGGTCGTCAACGGCCCTAGGGTCGTCGCGCAAACAGCGATGGCGCGTGTTCGGCGCGCCAAGTCTTGCCTCTTTGGAGCCAAGACTTCCACGACATGAGTGGACAATGTCATCTCTGGCGACCCATGGACCAATTGAGGGCATGGTCAGGGAAGATAGCCACCCGGAACCTGTTTCCATTCTCAACCAGCCACGCTGGGGGTTGGGGGGGTGCCGACCCAAACCATACATTTTGAGTAATCTTGTCCCATTTGCACGTGTTGCAGGGACCTGACTCCAAGCAAAGGCTGCGCGCTGGCCCGAACAGACTGCAACCAGTTTCGCAGGGTCCGAATGTTCTGAGAAAGTCAACGGAAAGGAACACTTCTGATAGTTTTCTGGGAAAGTTCCTGTAAGTCAAACTTGTAGCTTACGGAAAGTCAACGGACAGGAACACTTAGCTTTGCTTGTTGCCAATTCTTCCTGTAAGTTCTTGAATCGACATTGAAGGAAGACATTGGCATCGACAGCTTGACCATAGGATCCACAACTCCTCACGATGGAATCGGTGGAGACGTTTCCGTGTCCACAGCTGCTGGTGTGGCGCCATGGCTTCTGGAATGCTGGAATGAGGCAGATGTGGATGTTGGCAACTAGCTTTTGGACAGGAAGGACAGCACCAACCTGTGGATTTCAAGATGTTTCAAGTTAGGGCGCGTTTCAAGTTATCCCATTTTTGCTTGCAGACGAGGTTTGGTTGATACCATCAGTTTCCTGACCAAGCTGGACCAATAATTTGTTTTGACCTGGTTTTTTGGTGAACAGTTTTGATGAACCACAACTGCAAATAACTTTGACCTGGTGACATTTGGAGTCACAAACACAAACATTGATCGAAGACAGCATTTCCCTGTCCCTAGACTGCTGCGGGCAGATTAAAACGGACAGCTGGGTGTCCGTTCTGGGTTTATGTAGTCATGTCATGTACCTTTTGCTTTTGACACCCTTCCATCGCCCTACCTCATTTCACAGATTACAGTTGGTCATCTCATTGCAGCTCATCTTGAAAACTTGCTGTACCTCTTTGTAATCCCAGGTGTCATGCCTTCTGACTGCATGCCGCACCTTGCTGTAATGTTTTTTCTGTTTAAGTTGTTTTGCTTCCATCTTTGGTGAGACTTCGAAGTGCCTTTCACCCCTGAGCTCCCACGTCTCTACTTCTTGGAATGTTGGAGTTGGAGACTTCTGTTGTCGCTCTTCGACTTGGGGATTGGGTGTCGCACTTCATGACTAGCACCGGTGCCTTGTTCTTTTTGGGGTGGCACAACATCTGGTCGTTTCGTTGACCGAATCCTTCCTTCTCAGATGCAAACGCCTCCTCGCGTAGAACTGGTCGAAGCAGATGAGCAATGCCTGATTGGCTACGGATGTGAAACATTGGGAGCAACATTTGCAGCAATATTTCCACATATCCTGCCCGTTTCAGAAGAAACAAAACAGTCTATGTCAGGCCATGTATCAGAAAAAAATATGCAGTAGCTTTTTGCACCTCTGGGTCTTTGTTTGGACCTTGAAATTAGAGCGCATTAGCCGCCCGTTTCAATGTCTTTCTTGGAACTGGTCAAAAGCAAAAGAACAGTTGACCACTCCAAAGACCGGTCGCCCAAAACCATGAAAGATCGGTGCACTCAGTGTGTGACTGATGTCATGATGCAAAGTGTGTCACTGGGTTTCTAAGCCCGCGGTGCCGCACAACGACAATGCTGGAGATTTCGCACAATTCTGCATATGTTTGCTGGACGTCCTTTTTCTGGACCATTTGCTGATCAACCTGAAGATTCTACCTTTTTAGTGATGCTTATCCGGTTGGTACTCTTTTTTTGGGAGCGTGGCCCTCGTGCTGTTCGTTTGCGTTCGCGCTACGATGGTGGTTAAAAAAAATGCCTAGCGTTCAAATCGGGAGCTTCAAAGATTCAAGAGCAGAAACACAAGTCAATCAGAGTGAGTAACATCTTGCGAAGGTTCTCAGAAGCTGACAGCGACACCTCCTTTGTGGCTGAAAGCTGAATGCTGCCGTCAACACCAGCGGTGACTCAGACACAACAATATGACTCAGACGGCTTCGAACGGTGTTTTTTCGTTGCGTTCCGAAGGATTTACGAGGACATTTAGCAGCTAGCAAGTTTAGTCAGTGTTTCAGAAGTCCGAGGTCCAAAAATGGCAATCCTGGGATCCCATCACCGAAGGTAGGTCGGCGCACCTACTTCCCAAACACCGAGCTATCCGAGCTATCCACTACTGTGTGGTCCAACCGTCCGGCGGAGTCTTCCATCGAAGTACCACCGATGATACTGCCCACACGAGTCGAAGACATAAGAGGGACTGTCGAGAGTAATGTGATGTGCGAACCGCGCCATAAACCGGCCTAGGTGGTGTTCAGAAGGGTTGTGTGTTTCAAAGGTTTGTCGAAATGATCCCACTGACTACTATGTTTTAAGTGAGTTGAGACCACTCACCAGCTAGATTCTTGAGGAGAACCTCTGCCAGTCCTTTGACGAGCGCCGCCGGCAATCGAGGTGACTTGGCCTTTGTAGAAAGTGTGCCGATGACCGCAGTGTCTCTCTCCGCTTCATGGAACTGAGTACAACCAGGTCAAGTTGAGATAGGAACCATAGACTGACTTGGTCCCTTCTCAGGTGTCTTTGAGGTAACTTGGTCCGCTCGCATCTCCTTGACAACTCTGGGGGGGGTTCGTGATGTCCTGCCGTGTCGCTGGTTCTTTCCGGACCCCCAGCCATATGTCCTGCCGTGTGGTATCATTTATGAAATGCCATTCCCATCAGCCTTCATTGAAACAACCTGGTGCTCCCAGTTCACTGACCTTTGGAATGTTGAAAAACGATGAACAAAGTATCCGCCCAGTTGGGGTCTCGGGGTCAGATCTCCGGAGCTCTGTGTTCGACCTACAACCTCTTTAGATCAAGTCTGTGAGTCCAAACCTGGAGCCCCAAACGAGTCGTTGACCTGCCTGGGACACGTCTTTGCAGTGGTAACAGTGGTCATCCGAGGTGTCCCGCCTGAATGCTCCCAGAGCCATAGATGAAGTGTGGCCCAGACTTGGGTCGAACCAACGGCGATGTCAAGGCTTGAGGGTTGTTCTGGGTGAAATGGGAGTAGAGAGCATGGGCGATGCAGCCACTGGGAGTGGCAAAGTACTATCAGTGGACTCAGTCCAAATGGAAAGGATACTTGATACTTTGCAGAAGCATGCTGGTAGAGTTTGGAAGGTGTTTAGGATGCTTCAGTACATCCCATCGTCCCAGTAGGTGCCAAGCTTTTCTTTGGTTTTCCGACCACTTTGGGCTGCAACTCGAACTGCAAGCACCAAGTTTACGGCTTTGCTCCTTCGCCCAACTCAAGTGCCCAGGTGGGTCGCCTGGCCCATTTCACTGGGTCGTGAAGATGAACGAGGCCCGTTCGGTGCGGCCCGGTCCGGCCTGGAAGGGATCCGAACTTGCTGGGTGTTCATTTGGTCCTTTGGATGCATATCCGTTCGGCGAGAGCCATATGTGACACATGTAACAGGTTTTTAGGCGATCAGAACCGTAGTATGATTGCTTTTCATTGTTCGACCCTGGAAACAACTATGTATGTATTTTAGTTCTGATGGTCTGGTGGGAATATGCTGTGTTTTTTTTTTCCCGAGTGTCTTGGGTTTCCATTTGATGATGCCTTGGTGGGTGAAGCCATGTCAAACGATCTCTACAAACCATGAAAGCGCGAAGGACGATCCCTGTATCGTTTTTGGTCTAGGAATGGCCTCACAACATGACTTTATCAGGATGAAGATCCTGGTTTGAATTGGATCGTTTTTTAACATCAACTGTTGATTCATTGAATTCACAATTATACCCACATCACTTGACCATGACTCAAGGAGGATACCTTACCCTGTTGATTTTCCATTCCAATTAATTCCGCCCGTCCCTACCCCTAAAAAGGACATTTTTTCGAGACCCTGACACGTTGTCGCCCACAGTTGGTGTGGATCATCAGCCAGCGAGGAGCGAGGTACAGGCCGCAGGTCTTACCGTACCTCGTAGTGCCAAAATCGAGCCCAAAGTCCGGAAGCCGTCTATGATACTAGAGTTTATAATGGATATATATATATACCAGGAGTCACAAAGGGGTGGTGTTTAGTCCTTAAGTGAGTGGATAATGGGCACCCCTAACCTCCATTAAGCACCCCTTTGTGACTGCTGGTATATGGGACAATCGTGCGAATGTTTCGTAAATGGTGTCTGTGATGCAGGGGCAAATATGGCTGTGGGTCAAAAGCCGGTTGTTCCATGTTTTTCCACACCCAAACATGAACAGATTAGACAACCAGACATGGTTAACCAATACCAGGGTTTGGTGCTTTTGACTCACAGCCAGAACACCGCCAGAACGATGGGGATGCCGATTCTTCCCGCTGCACCGAGTAATACTCGGACGTGCACGCAAGGCCACCACGACGTACAGGTCCCGTTAACGCTGACGTGAAGGCAGGAGGATGAGGCCGGGAGGAGACGACGCGGCGAGTGGTTCTTTTCTTTTCGGAGGCCCCCAAAACATCCTCTCTAGGTGTTTGGAGGTCACTGCAAGTTGTGTTTCATGCAGATTCCTCTCAGCAGAATCTCACAGATTCTAGAGTGGCTTGAATCCAGATCTGCGATTTGCTTTTGGTTGAGGTATTGAGCGAACCCCCACAAAATCACATGGACGATTCACGCACCCCAGTTAAGCAATTTCACATCATGCATGATCTACATGAGATCTGTGTGTGATCTGTGTGTGATCTGTATACCCAGTACGAGCTTCCCGCGTCCGAGCCTCTTGGCTCCAAAAGGGCTCGCCGAAAGCTCGCTCGCTGCTTCCACCCGTTCGCGTCGAAGTGATCGATGAACGGGCAGTCGCAGGGCTCAGAATCGGTGTTTGTCATGACAGACATGTTCGCCAATCACGAACAGTTCCTGGCAGTCGTGGAAAGATTGTGGCTTTTGGGGAGAGACTTTCGGAAGATGGTGGAAGCGAGAACTGATGAGAAGAGTTGAAAACCGACACCAGCGCTGAAAACCACGAGCTACAAACCACATGAAAAGGATGAAGATGATTCTTCTCACCAAGGAATATGCCGTGCTTACTGGCAGCAGATGGCAAGATCCCTGCTTACTGCGAGGAGCCCTAAGCGCCCTCGTATCGCCTCGGTGGATCGAACGATGCACGTGGATCGAAGGATGTGTTCAACTCTTAAAGACCACCAAGTCTTAGTGGTCGATCATTTTTCATCCTCCTCACTCCCCAAGCTCAGTGGTCGACATCGATTGAGCCCCTCAAGTTGAACTGAGATCGCCTTTCTCACGGTTTCAAAGCACAGCTCGAGGCTCCCGCCGTGTTGGATCGCGAAGCGCCCCCGTCGCGTCGCCCGTCGTCGCGGGTCGCCCGCGCCCGTCTCGGATCGGCAGGAGAAAGCGCCCGGGCGGCTGAAGCACCGGAGCCTCCGCCGCAAGCGCCATGCCTTGCAGCGCAGGCGACGCGCGCGGAGCGAGCAGCTCGTGCGGAGAGGGGCGGAGAGGGTTCCCACGTGGCCGGTGCAGCCGAGACGAGGAGCAGTGTTGGGGTGGGTCAGGGCGGATGGTCTGAGCTGAGAGGTTTGATTTCTGAGCTTCAAAGCATCGTCCAATGTGGGCAAGAATGAAGACTTCAAAGGGAGCATGCTCCTTTCCTCTCAAAAGACTAGGACCAAGCATAGAATCCCCCTATTTTGAGACTAGGGACAGCTTCCCTTCTGAGAAGGGTTCTTCGAGCTCATCACACCTATGATGACCACCCTCCATATCCATTTGCCCTTGAACCTGCCGCATGCGCGCGCGGTATGCGCCAGGCAGTTAACGGAGTTTCGCCCAGAATTGCCTGGCTTGCACGATGCTGAGAGAGATCTGAAAAGCTGACCCGATGGATGGTGAAAGCCACGCTGAACTCCTTTGACATGACATAGCCTGGCACTACATTGTCACTACATCTCTATTTTTCTTTGGAGTAGCTGAGTAGCAGATCAAAGGAGACAGCAGGGGAGACAGCGACCGTGATGGCTTTCCGAAAGGGATGGCTTTCCTTGGCGCGTTTCACCTCATCGTGGCACTGACCTCCTGCGAGGCTGCTCCTTCTCATCGACCAGATCCACACGGCTCGCCTCTCGTGCGGCGTCACGCCGCGGACACGGTACGGGAGGAAGTCTGGGAGATGGTGGCCAAGAGAGGAGACACATGGGGAAGGTTGATGAGGTGAAGAATACGAGATCCCGATCTGAAGTCAAATCAACGGTTTCCCATCTATAAACGTTTTGACCTTGTAACACTCTACCACCTGGGGTGGTTTCTATATATCAACTGCATGTCTACTCCGGGACTCGGTCCTTGGCCGTCGCCTCGGTCGACTCGGGTCGACTGCGTCCGCCGTGCGGACGGCGCGCAGGTGCCGCGACGCATCATGAACGGGATCGTGCCGTCCGGACCGCAGAGCTTGGGGCCAACTGCGAAGGAAAGGAACCAGGCTAGCAAGCTTTATAGCATGCTTTCGCATGCTTTAGCTATAAGACCCAGATGCACCTCGCAAATGAAGGGATTTTGCACCAAAGAACTCAGCAATTCCTGCTTCCGGATGGCTTTACGGTGCTCGATGAATAGTCTTGAGATACCTGAATTCGGATGGCTGAACTGAGGGTCGCCGGACCCTCTCTTCTTCATTTTCGCTCAGACAACTCTAAGCATCTACTCCGGACCCGTGTAGTCTGTAGTCGACTGTTACTTACCTTATAGACTTAGCATGCAGAACTGAAAACTGACGAAGTATCTGAGTGAGTTCGAAGGGTCCGCCACGGCCGTCGCTGCAAGCAGTTGTCGCTCCAATCCCTCCGAGTGGGCACCCACGGGGACCGGTACTCACTCAAAGAAGCCACCAGCTATAGAAGGATATGGCATGGAGATGCAGGACCAATTCCGGCGCTGGGTTCGGATATAATTCGGCGCTGGCTTCTCTGTCTGATAAATCCCGAGTTGGAAGACTTGGGCTGAAGGAAAGGACTTCTCCATGCCCCAGCCAGCTGAAAGAAAGGAGTTTAGATTAGATTTCATTCCCTCCTCAAATCTTTGATACCAGCTGGTGGAAGACCTTCCTCTGATCTTGAAGGCAGAAACACTCAGCTGAACTTGGGTCAAGGAATTGAAACCTGTTTCACTTCCACTTGGTCCATCAGTCGTGTCCGAGACTTGTTTCACTTTTACCGAAGGGTATTGAGACCACGACCGTCTTCATTTAACACAATTTACAGTAATATATAACCACTCAAGTTCAGAAATGGTATGGAGACCGCGGCAGTCTTCATCAATAACCACTAAACGTCAGAAATGGTTGCTGGACGTAGATCCTCTCCTCCAACCGGACGTGCACAAATGGTGAGTCGATGGCTGAACACCCACAACCTCGACGTTCGCACGAGTTCAATAAACTTCCAAATGCAGTCACAGACGTTTGGGATAAACGATCCACAGACATTTGATATCTTGGACATGGCGGATGGATCGACACCGACACGCCATGGCCCGTGGCCCGTGTCCCAGCCGCTGCTTTCCAGCACTTCAGCACTCCAGCTGCTCCTGTGTCCAGCTCCAGGCATCTTCAGGCGATTTATGGAGACAAGTGGATTTTTGAGGCGGAGACGAGGGTCGCAGGGTCGAGTCGCTGGAAAAAAAACAGTGTCCCTGGTTGTGGTATTGGAGCGTTGATTTGGGGATTGGCCCATCCCAAACCCGATTGAACAAGCGATTGAAAAAGGGCCAGTCGGCCAGTCTGTTCCACCACGTCCATTTCTTGGAGAACACAGGGAGCATCTCCCCGGTTCCATCCTTCCGGTTCCACCTACCGAGCGGCGGATCCGCTCACCGAGCCGGCGGGATCCGATCCGATCCGCCATCCTCGTCACCCTTCGGTCACGCATCCTCGAGCGCTCTCACCGCACCCTGAAGTCGACCTTGAAAAAGAAACGGTGGAACAACGGTTCCAAAACGGTAGAGACTGTGAGCCAGGAAAAAACATCCTCTGAAACAGAAGTAGACAATTACCGTATTCAGCTTTCAGAACTTTCAGGGTAGTTAAATGGTATTACGACATGTCTGGTGTCTTGTTGGAGACCTGCAGGCAGGTCCTGCCTGCGGCACCATGGGCGCATGGTCTCTTGGAATCCTCCTATCCGTCAATCACCATCCGTCTATCACCTCCAGTCGTAGCTCAGAATGTCTGACTGGACTCCTCAAACCCACCATCACCCACCCCTCCAAAAACCGCGGAAATACGCTGAACCCAACCAGATGTCCAGATCACGGAGCCCCCCGGATCCGGATGTCACTCTGTGGCGATGCTTCCGATGCAGGCGTTCCACCTTCAGGAACAAGCCCTCGAGACCACTCTTGGTTCAGACTACCGTAGGCCGCCAGATGCCCAGGCAATGCAGAGTGATTCAGCACGAGGTATGCAGTTTAGTATATTTTTATATATAAATACTTGCATTTGGTTTAATTTGAGGACACAGCTCTGGGATATAACCTAACACTCAAAGAGCTAGCGAATACTCATTTCCACCGAGGCTTTGCATTGATGTAAATAGCTTTGTGGATTTGACCCATGGGGTCAAACATGTTTGGAGCCCTCACAAGAATGTGTTTTTGACTTCTCACATCATTTTATCAGTTGACATGTGTCTTTTTGTGGGTCGAAAAGCAACGAGGGAGAGATGGAGCGAGGGAGTGAGTCACTTCCGAACTTTTTTTGATCGTTTTTTTTGTAAATCTCAATGGATTCAAACCAAGAGATTGGAATCATTGAGATTGTTCAAGTATCTTGAACGATTACACAATCGAATCCAATCTCTGGATTTTCTCATTGGATTCGATGCAATGCTTACATATATATGCTTACATACTTGAAAGCCACCCCTACAGTTGGTGAACGCGGGTTCAGAACTGCTGGCGACGACCGGGTGACACATGGGACAGTCCGGGGTGCGTCCCACGTTCCCAGGCTTGAGCAAGAAGTGGTGGATCCAACGCAGGAGCACTTGCGCCGGAGGCCACGCGTTCCGGACGCGCCGCGAGTTCGAGAGACGACGCCCGAGGTGTTTTGTGGGGCGGGCGGGTGTTTGCAACAGGTAGAGAGGCAGGTTGGGGGTTTGGTAGTGGAAGAACTTTTGTTGAGTCAGTGAAGATGCACACCGTTGATGGCTTCATGTCGCGCAGGGCTTTTCCCACAGAAGCAAAATATTTTTTCTGCTTGTGGATCATTTCATTTGCTGCGCACGGAAGCAGAGGGGTTGGAGCTCATGCCATCATCTCCAATCATCTTGGATCATTTTCGATTCGTGATTCTTATGCCATGATCATCTTTGATGGCTGTTTTTTTGTTTTAATGCTTTCTGTTATGAAGATCGAACAAAGTCATGGTTTTCTTCAGAAAAAAGAAGACTGATCGAACACGGGTCAGAGAAACATTTACATTTGCCTAATTCTTCGAAGGTCAGGTGACCTGTCAGGTTCTGTCGCCTGACTTGGACTCTGTCACACATTATATAACCGCTTTTTGGTTCATTGACCCTTCAGCCCGCAGCCAGAACTTCTGCAGGCTGCGCTTGCTCTCGGGAACTCTTCACTTGAAGGTGAGGAGGATGCTTGGTGAAGGTGAGACTAAACCCCTCCAGACTGTGAAGACTCCCACGCGCATGTCACTGTCAAAATTCGACAAACAGGTCAACCATCATATGGAGTTCAAGGAACCCAGTCTCCACTGTGGTGAGTGGGTTCTACCCCAGTTTCGAGCCTCCGCTGCCCAAATTTCTCAACACAGGTGCCCCTGTTAACGTGGAGTTCAAGAAAAGCTGTGTCTCCGCTTGTGTTTGTGAAGATTCTGCGAGTTGCCATTCTTTTTTGTGGTGGGGGATTGCTGGCAGAACACCACTGAACATTTTAATGTGACATGTTTGCCCGACCTCCGTCAAACTTGAGCTGCTTTCAACATGGAGGGACGTGCCAATGTCGCATAGAATTACAGAGAAGCAAGTAGAGAAGCAGTTTCCATTGTCTTAGAGGGGAGTCCAGATATATATATATATATACCAGGAGTCACAAAGAGGTGGTGCTTAGTCCTTAAGTGAGTGGATAATGGTCACCCCTAACCTCCATTAAGCACCCCTTTGTGACTCCTGGCAGATATATATTTTTTGTTGAAACTGTTTCATCCGCTTTGGACCGCAGTTTCATCCTCAACTGAGGATCTGGGCTGACGTACGGAGTTCTGAAGACGAGAGGCTGGAGGAGACGTCCCATCGCTGCGATTCATCAGTTCAGGGAGATGTTATGACGTCCATGTAGATGGTTTGTTTATAACATCCATGGAGAGTCCCTGCCTTGCGACCTCGCGACAGGAGATTCGAGCCAAGGTGCACAGCACCTTGCAAACGTTTGAGGCCAGCTGGCTACTGTAGCATTCATGGTGCCAATGGCGAACGCTTGGATGCTGTATTCTCGAAGCAAAGAATCACAGCTGTTATTCTGATTGCCAAAAACCTTAATACCTTTGGGGATATTCTAAATCACCAACCAGTTGTCCATTCCCAATACAAACCGATCATCCTTGGTGAATGACTTTGAAGCTCCACTTTCAGGATCATGATTCGCACAACGGGCACACTGTGCCCCTCTTGCGGGTCTGAACCCATATCCCGACATGTGATCCATGGGATATTATACTATGATATACTACCATGGTTTTTCGAGAGTTCCTCTACGAAACAGGATGGCTTTTCTGTGTGTTGCAACACTTGTCCGACTTCGGTCATGCTGGTCCCTGCCGGGGAATCCGAAAGCGCCGCCTGAGCGAACTACATATCATCACATCCGCCATATCCAGAGTTGCATACACCAACACATCACATCTGCACTCTTCAGTCTCTCTCCCTCTCCCCCTTTTATTGTTCTTGTTTTTCCCAATGTGCCAGGTGAGGGTTGTTAGATTTTATCAGAGCTCTTCTCCTCATCTTCTCTTTGTCTCCCTCTCTCTCTCTGTCTCCTCTCTCTCTCTCTCTGTCTCTTCTCTTCTCTTCTCTTCTTTTCTCTTGCCCTCTTCTCTTCTCTTCTCCTCGTCTCCTTGACTACCGCACCTCAACTACCAGCTCCCGATCGTAATGGGCTACACCTCAACTGCAAGTGCCAGATCGCAGTGGGCACTACCGGACCTCAACAGCAAGCGGAACATCTGCAACAACTGGAACAACCGGAACCACAACTGGAACACACAAACACAAAACACAACCACAACCAACATATGTAACACAACCACAAATACAGCCACAAAACACACAATCGCAAGCACACAGCCACAAACACAATCACAAACACACAATCACAAACATAGAACACACAACACACAACCAACTAAGCACAACCACATCCGCAGACACAAAGCACAACCACAAACACCAACAGCAACAAGCGCAAGCACACAAACACAATACACTACCAACCAAACACAGTGACAATCAAGCGCAGCTCCAGACACCTGGAGGGGCCCAGGTAATCCGTGAGTTGTGAAGCGTCACGTCGTTAGCCCGCACGAGCGTTAAGGCATCCGTCCGCAGGAAGGACAGGGTCGCTGTAGAGCCTCAACCATTTATGATAGTAGACGATGTGTAAGAGCACAATCCAGATTTGTAGACGATGTGGCAAGTGTTTCAATAGACCTTGGTGAGTCACGACTTTCGAACGTTCGTTTCCCGCCGACATGAAAAGAAACGTTTGAACGCCCCAGTCTGTCAGCGGAGCGAATCGATGCTATAGCGACTAGGCAGCTGGAGTATTATTGTTCTTTTTTTTTCTCTCTCTCTCTCTCTCTCTCTCTGTCGCTTCCTCTCTCTCTCTCTCATTTTTTTGCTAATGCTCTCTTTCTTTGTTAGGTGTGGGGTGGTGCCACCGAGCCACCACAAAATGCAACCATCTGGCACGAAATGAGGGTCAAATGTTGGTCAAGTGTCAAAAACTTAAGGAATATTGCCATTTCAAATCGTCCATGAATGAGCATCAACTTTAAAACTCCTCTAGGGATTCTAGGGCTTCCTTCACCTGGATCCACACACTTTACTATACAATAACTCTGCGCACAAATCCGCTTTAAACATGGCCTTGGAGATATCTTTGGGACAGGACCTGAATCCACGCACTTTACTGTAAACCTGCTTAAACATCGCCTTGAAACCATGTCAATGTTTGGGACAAGGACTGAATGCATACACTATAACACATCCTTCTGCAAAACGCCTACAAACCTGCATGAACATCGGCTGGAAAACATCCTTCCCTCTTCCTGCGAACATCCTTTTCATCTCATCTCATCCTTTTCGCACCCGCTCTTTCACTTTCCCTCTCGCCATCTCACAACTCTCTTTGCTTTACTGCCTCATCGTAATGCAAACATACCTTACACCAGAGTAACTCTACACCTCAACGCTCTCAGGCCATGCGCCATCTAGCCTTGATGGCCTTGTTTTGGGGATCCCTTGAGCAGATTCGATCCTCCGCGCAGGCCGTCTTTTTGGATCTGGAACCCTGGATATCCCTGGCCATCTCCCTGCTGGGACGGCGCCCGGTGTGGGACGGCCTTGCCCTCGCCTCGGCATCTCTCGTCTCGTTTCGGCATGGGTTGCGAGCGCACAAGCCCCTCGCCGCCAGGCTTCCGCCTTGCAGATTCTACAAACAGATCGGGGAGCGCGTTCCGAGGTGCAGTGTTTCGAGTTGGGAAGACGGGGATCGGCGAAGAAACGCGGCGGAACCCGGGGGGGCCCAACTGGCTCTTTTTTTTGGGAAACATGCGAAACAACGGTCGAAGTTCGGTGTTTGAAGCCGCAACAAGTGTTTGAAGAAAACTGTGTTGTTGTTTCAATCCGATATGGGGTTCACTCGATTCAGAAAGCCGTGACAATCCTGCAAGAAGTGCTGAAAGGAATCAGACAACCCGTGTTGACTGCACAACTCCGCAACCGACCTTTCCACCAGAAACATGGATATCGTCTTCACAAACAGTGGTTGAATGGTACGTTACATCATGGTACATGTCTTTTTCATTTTGTTTGCCTCCCCGATGTGAGGATCAGACGAAATCCCACCAGAAAGTGCCCAAAACACAAGTTGGAGGCCATCGCTTCTAGGTTCCTGTTCCTAATTGTCACAGAAAACCGTAGAGTGGGGCATCTTCCCTCCTGCTCCCAGGATGAGCTCGAGGAGGTGATGCCCAGTGCCACAGTCACGGCCGACGTGGAACTGCAGGGCGCCAGGCCTTACGAGGCCACGTAGAACTGCGAAGCTCCTTCCACCGATGTTAGTGAGCACATCAGCGATAGCTAGCTGCTAGCTGGATGGTTTGTCTTCTTTGGGCTTACATTGGGAAACTGGATTTTGGGAGAGAGAGAGAGAGCATGAACGGTTTGCACGAGCTCGTCCGAACAAACCAGGTCTGTTGTTGACAAAGGTCAATAGGTTGATCATCCAGTGGTCCTTTTCTGTATGTGTCCGTGCAAAAAATGGACTCTGCAAAGTTACTTAGGCATCATAGCGTCATAGCCATGGGAGTGTGTCAATAGGGAGACCGGGAGACCCATTTGGCCCAATGGATTTTGGATGATTATGGTCCTGGTCTATTTCCTCTTCTTCCAGGGGGTCGTTGCCTGGGAGGTCTCCCTATATATTATAAGGAACGCTACAGACCGAGTCTTCTGGTGGCCTATTTCCTCTTCTTCAGGGTCGTAGCGACCCCTTCTCGTCGTAGCTGTGATATCTTGTTGACGGATGGACAGATGTTGTTTTCTGCAAACGATCAGTGGATCACCAAACATGAAAAGAGATGATGCTCGAGCTTCGCCCCAGGGATTTGACATGATTTTACAAGCCAGCTCTACAGCTGGTTCTTTTGGCATTTTGCAGGATGCGAACTTCAGCTACCAGTCTTGTCGCATTTCCACATGCGAGAATGCGACGCAGGGAATTTGGGCACCAAGCCGCAGACGCGACGGGTTTCAAGGGTCTGGTTTTTGGAACGTCGCCGGAGCTGACGCAGTCAGAGAGTTGATCAGAAAGACGTGAGGGCGCAACGCATGTCTTGCACACCACTGCCTTCAGAAAGCACTAGGAGGAAAAGCAGTACTTTTCTTTACGGAAACTGGATGAACTGGCACTGGGCCTTCTATTCCCATGTGTGGAAACTTTACATGTTTGGTGAAAATGAACCAAATCGCTCTCTGGCCGCTCTGTTCAGGCATCCCGGTCGTCAAGCCAAATTCGGACTACACTGCCCACAGCACGCCCCTCCCCACTGCGCCAGTCAGTGGAGACGGTTTGATGATGTTTGATGATGTTTGATGGCTCAATGTATCTCAGGACTGCGAACAGTCGGTACACAAGCAAATCACTGATGCTTAGGCCTGCAACCTAAGCATCATAACACTGAAACCTGGTCATATGCCCAATTGCATGATCTTCATTTGAGTAGGGGTTCAGCCTTTATAGCTTTTTGGTGGGTCTTCATCCTCCAGCACTTGTCCCTCCTGAGCTGCCGATCCTTGATTTCACTCCACTGCGGCGTGCGGGTGCTCGTCATCCGAAGGTGGAACGGTTTGTGCATGGGTGTGAGGCCGTGTGGCTTGAGGACATCGGGGGGGGTTACTCTCGGAGTGGGCGTCCGTTCGGGCGCTTGGTATCGAACATCACACCTGAATTAGAGGGAGGTTGGCTCAACAAGTTTTTTTCTATAATTGAATTTTACCTCTTGTTTTGGTGAAACAAATCCTGACACTCCGACTTCTAAGGTACCTCCTTTAAGGGCTGACAGGATCAAATGAGACCTCATCAACCCCTCAACTTGGTGCATGTAAACCCTTCTCCAGTCTGCCGAACATCCAGATATCTTGCATGAAGAGGACTGGTTTTTCTGGTTGCATTGTTTTCCAGCAAGATTTGATCTGGGCGCTTCACTCCAAGACCTGCGAAAAATCTCGCGGCTCTGCGATGCTTGGCGCCTCAAGAGATGGCACGTGATCGCTTGGCACTTGGCGCAGTCTATCACTAGTTGGGCCAATCTCGGAGAAGGTCACAGGATCAGCAGGGTTTGACGTCTGAGGTTACTTGATGTTATAGTGTTTGGGCTGTGTGACATCGTGAGGACGACCCATCCAAGAAGAGTGAACAGCACATAAGGAAACTTCTGCAGTGTTGAGCAGGGATTTTGCAATGTACATAATGTACATCACTAAACAGAAAAAGATCCAAAAAGAGTCTAGTGGTTGGACGTGCTTCTTGGTGGCAACCCAGTGGTTCTGTGGTGGTCCCTCATCAACTGTTCTGTGCATCCGATCAATGGCAGTGAGGGTGGCGGCTAGGTCAACAAGATGCCATTGTTGGGTTTGGTGAATTGCTGGAGAACATGCTGGTTTTCTGTGTGGGGATGGCAGTAGTTCCACCAGCCCTTAGGCTGTTCAAAGTTCAAGACATTCTGAATCATCCATAAGCAGCCCGAAACCAGGTGAAGAGGTCTTTTGGGTTGTTTGTGTCTTATTGTTTCTCTGAGGCATAGGGGGTGGGCTATGATAGGCGTGAGGCCAATCTTCCGAGATCGTCGATGCTCAGATGCCCAGCTGCTGCCTAGAAAGCCCAGCCGGAAGGCGCACGAACCGGCAGGCAAGACTGCGAAGTCTGGTGTGTGAGGCTCTTTGTACAGGATGTGTTCTTTGAAAAGGCTCGAGGATTGGAAGAGAAACGACCGTCTCGTGGCGACCATGTGGTTTTAGCGGGACGAAGCACTGACAAATAAGTGAATGGCATGAGGACCAGATCCAAGAGTTTGCCGCAAGTGAGAGGTGTGGGTTTGGGGGGGTTGGAATTGGTCGAATTCGGTTGGGAATGAGTTGAGAAGGACCCAAACCAAAGGGACGTTGGGGCAACTTGGAGTGTCTCCTCCAGCCAAGTGTTGGGACCAAAAACAGGCCGGTGCGGTCCAAACCCCAAACCCCAGATTCTGGTCCAGTTGTCTGGTCCAGTTCGGCAGGTGAGCTGGATTCCGGTTTTCCGGTGTGAGGGCGGGACCCACACGAGTGACTAGTGACCAGCTGCTAAAGGATGTGCTGCAGGTGTTGCTTTGGAAGACGGGAGGATGTGCTAAAAAGCGCAAACCACGGCATGTGCTGTTGCGGTCGACCAAGATCCTGCTATCACTCCAACCTCCTAGCGATGGCCTCCAACCTTAATAGCGATGGCCTGCAACCGGTGCCGAAACTCGAAGCCTAATGACACAATTCGAAGCCTCGTTATATTTGGAACGTCACCTCGGCTTGCTGCAAGAAGCTGCTCATTGGTTCTCCGAGCAAAATAGAAGCGCTTGCAGGATTGCACTTATGTGCAAAGGTCATGCACTGGGTGCTTTTACACCGGAAACTGCTCGTTGTTTTCTCTTCCTTGGCCCTGTCTCCTGGAGGGTGCTAGCAGAATGTTTGACTTTAAATGTTGAAGGACACCAATCTGTTATTAGGGTGATGTTTTTCTATTCCTAAAGACTTGACAGTCCTTTTCAAGAAATCCAAATGTCTTTTTTCTCAAGGGTTGCATTCTTTGTGCTTATATATAACTTGTTCATGTGGGCTTGTGAAGGGTGGCCACGAAATACCCATCACCAATGGCCAAGGAATCAGGAAGATTTGGTTTGGTCTCTCTGCAATTTTTGGAACACATGCTTCCTTTTTTGCTTCCCAGTTCAACTTCTCAGCATGGATAAACAGATAAACATGTCCTTCCGCTAATGTTTGCCTTTCGACCTGCCTTGGCCCGACCTCAAGCCGGCAACTGCGCCCCTTGCATGGACCTGTTCACGTGCCGAAACCAAGGAACGCGCCGAAACCGTTCATTTTGCCACAAAACCCCACAGCCTCGCAATGCTTCGCAATGCTTCGCAATGCTTCGCGTGCTTCTGTCGATGCCTTTTCCTCTGTCGGCTTCGGTTTTTTGTGGAATTGACAATGGAATGACTCTCATGTCGACCCTTAATGATATTTGACAAAGAGGATTTAGTATATCATCCATGTGGGGTTTTAGAACCCTCAAGAGCCTACGTTTCCCTGAAACTTTCCCATGTAATTTGCTGTTCGAGTCAGGCTTTTTTGTAGCCTTTCCTGCGTGCTTCACTTGCTCTAACATGAAGAGATTTGTGACGAGATGACGCAGTGGTCGAGGTGTCCACTGCGCTCGTGAGATGCGGAGCGCGCGCTGCAGAGCCTAACGGACGTGAAGGTTGAAACAGATCGACGAGCAACATGGGGGGCCACAGCCGGCTTCAACTAGAGTTGGTGGGTGGCCTCGAGAAAGGCTTGTCACATTTCGTGGAATGGACCAAAACGCCAGCAGTAACAGTGTGTGCACTGCCCAAACGCTAGCAAACCTCGCAAATCCATCACATGTGAGAACACAAATGGACCAACTGGGGATCTTTCAAGCATTCGGGACGAACTTCTTTGAGTTCTTTGGAGTTTTTGAGATCCCCCCCCAGCCACTTAGAGTTCACGCGGATGTCGAGTGTCGTGACTTCCTTCGCTCAACCGGCCCACAGCGGCGGCCGACGCGGCGAAAAAGGAGAGCCCGTGGCCGAGACGGCTGAGACGGGTGAGAGGGGTGAGATGATTTCCACATGACATGGGTGAAACAAACAGTGAAAGTCCTCACATGACATACTGTAATACGTATCACCGCCCCTTTTTTTTTCCCCTGTCCGTGGTGTTCTGCGTGTGGAACATGCCGCAAGGATGCTGATGTTTGTTCTGTCTGTAGAGGCGAGGAAGGCAAGAAATCACAGGATAAGCCGAAAAGATGGACCACCCATCATGTGCTTCATATCAGGTTTGTCACCCCCACGAAGTTCACGAGGAGTGGTGCGGCGCAAAAAACCGATCTTTGCGCATAGAGACCGATGGTTTGTACCAGTTAACACAACGAGAAACAAGAACGATGACACCGCGAGCCTGCACCAATGCATGTACACATGTTGCAGTTAGTGCCAGTTAGTCAAAGTACAAAAAAGAGCTCTACAGGAAAAAAACTAAATCGATACCATCAGTATACTATACTATAGTCTATAGTATTAGTATAATTGTATTTCTCTGTTTTTTTTTTTTTGCGGGGGTAAGACAACCTCATATGTTTAAACACAATGTATTCTACCCATGTGTAACACTGTCTGAAGCGTAGCGTGCAAGCCCTGCGTTTGCCCTTCCCAGGGGGGTTCCGGTGGTCCAAACAGCGGGCTCCGGTGACCAAACAGCGAGTCGGTATACCCAGAAGGAAGTGGAGCCCTCCCCCCAAACAGGGGGATGGTGATGCCTAAACTACAGATCATTTTCATGGTCTATTCTTCATGGTTATGCATGGTTATTGGCCGTTATTGGCCACAATCGCTCTCTTCGA